AAAATGAAAAACGGAAAAAAAAAAAAAAACCGAAATTGCGGGAACACCTGAAGAAGCAAATGTACCTGATAGTTGGCCGGAAAAAAAAAAAAAACCGAAATTGCGGGAACACCTGAAGAAGCAAATGTACCTGATAGTTGGCCGGAAAAAAAAAAAAAAACAAGTCGTATCGTCTGAACAGGACGAAATTTAAGAAACAAACAGGCTTCGGCAGATGTAATCCAAAATACTCTGAAAATGGAAAGAGAAACAAAGAAAATCTGAAAAGAAAATTGTGAGTGAAAATCTGAGAGTTTTGGATTTGGGATTAATGAAATACCGTAGCAGAAAAAAACGGGGAGAAAATTATGGAAACCTATTAATAATATGAAAGAATATTACAGACACGGTTTCGTTTGCCTTGCTTGCTAGGAAGGCGGAGTATGAGTTAAGCGTAGATTAGAAATTAAGAAAACCATTAATATTTGCCAACCAAACTAAGTAATATAATTATCTCTTTTACGAGAAATAAGTAATTATCATTTTTATGAAAAATAAAAAATTTTGAGTTTTAATTATATACATATATAATGAAATGATGGATAAGAATTGTTTTTTTTTTTATTATGCTATCAAGATAAAAAAAATTTATTAATATTTATTTTAAATCAAGACAAAAATTATTTATAAGGCATTTTTTTAAATATTTTTTATTTTGAGTTCAAGTTTTTGTCTGCGTTGGACTGTAAGAAAATAATCTTGATTAGGGAAGACAATCCCAGATTAGACTTCTTAATGATTAATTTTGTATAAATTAGTGTTGTCTAGATTACAAAAAAAATAATAAATAAAATTTCTGTTTTTTTCTTTTTCTTCTGAGTTCAAATATATAAGTAAATCATGTACTATAAGTTTTGCTAGAAATTAAACTTCTAATGTATGGAGCAAAGCCAAGTTACGGTCAATAAGTAAAAGGAAATATTTACACTAAAAAAATATACTACCTTTGTTTAACTTTAATAAATTTATATTTTTGTCCATTAATATATATAGTAATTAACTAATAAGATGTTATATTTATTTTTATTTAATTACTAGTACTTGAACAAGCTTTTTTACTTTATTGTATTATAATTATTTTTTAAAATAAAAATAAATTCATTAAATACTCAAATTAAAAATTAAATCTACTATAAAATTAGATAAAAATGAAAAGATAAGTATTAAAAAAATTTATTTTTAATAAAATCTAATACAATTTACTTTTAATAAAATTTAATTTTATATTAATCTAAATTTAATATAATTTTTAAATAATAAAAAAATAAAGTTAAAGAGAGCTAAGTAGTGTAAGACAAGATTTTGATTTTTAGTTTTAAAAAAAATTTTGGACACAAGACAATTTAAATGAAATAGGAAAAACAGTGTGTGGAGGAAAAACGGCATCGGATTAATATCGTCGTCAATATCAAAGCCAGGAGTCGTTATCTGGACTTGTTGAGGTAACGAGACGTGATGTTAATTTACTACTAGTAAGTACCATTATTAAGTACCAACGAGGGGTTGGATCAAGTGGTAAACGACTTGTTTCAGTTTAAGCAAGATCTCGAGTTCGAGTCCTTGTGTATGCAGCAGTCCCCGCTGGGAGACTCACCCACCATTTTCAGGTGCGCGACGCAGGTCGGATCCGAATTAATC